TATCGCAGAAAGGCACAGGAGAGAGAACCACAGTCTACACGGCCATTTAGGTCCCCGCAGCAGGCACAGTACTGGGAGGGGTGCAGACCACGGAGGAGCTCAGGGCCCAGCCCTGAAGAAGCTCCCACTCCCGGGAATGCACGAACTAGGGTTCATCCTACGTTAGACGTCAATTCTCTAGCTGTGTCCCCTGGACGTGTCAGAAGTGAGAAACAAGGTAATTACAGTGGAATGGCTTTGAGGTGGTTAAGTGAAGGTCTGGGGGATTTACTCTGAAGCCTGTGGAAGATTAGGTCACAGTGCGCACAGGAAGTCTTGGGTGCAGGAATCCGTGCTGGTATCCGCTCTCGGGGTCACCCCTTCTCTCCCCACCTCTGTGCCTGGATCACCCACATTCCACATGTAGGTTATGTGACCCCGGGGGTCCGAGCCTGGCCCATCAGCTCGATAGCGCCTTCCACCCACGGTGCTCTGCTCCCTCCCTGGCAGTCACGCTGACCCCCAGGCCCTCTGAGAAGTCTCTTGCAGCCTCGGCAAGAGACTCCCATGTTCCGATGCCCCCGCTGGCTGGGTATTTGCACACGCCCTCTGCACGCTCATGTGGAGCTTGTGGATGGAGCTCTGTGGTTATTTCAAACACCCTCCCCACAGAATGCCCTGTCGTCCATCCGTAAATATTTACTATAAGAAGTATTGCTTTTGGAAAAAGGATATGTCTTTCTGGTGTCTCGAAAAAAATCAACAGTTCCTGTCTGGTGATGAGAGAACCGGTATAGTGCAGTGTGGTGTTTAAGGCCTGGATCTGCACCAACCCACTGAGCGCTGGGCTCTGTCACTTGCTACCTGTGTGACCTTGGGAGTGTGTGGACCTCTCTGTGCCTGTTTCCTCACTCCTAATATGGGGATAATGGGAGTACCTACTGCATAGGGTTGTTGTGGAATCAAATGAGTTGATACATTTAAATGCTCTGAACAGCATCTGGCACAGAGTGATGCGCCGTTTTTGCTGTTCTTAATCTGTCCCGTTTTCTAGCTGCTGGGAGTACGCATGTGTTGGGAGCACCCCAATTGCGCCAGTGGATTTAAGCAATTGACCCGATGCCCAGACGCGTTTCTCACGCCCTCGCCCTGGGAGCTGTGGTCCCGGGAGTTTACCTGTCTCACTGCCAGCACTTTCCTTTGCCCCCTCAGAGGAGTTTAGGATCTTGGACGCTGAAAGGAGGACGCAGTCAACTTCATCCCTTTCCTGATGATGCTTTTCTGCAGCAGAACCAGACATGGCTTTTGGTGTTGGGAGCAGGGAGGCGGGGCGCGGGGATTCGGGACGCCGATGCTCTAAGCGCCACCAGAGGGCGCGCTGGGGCCACGCAGCGGCGGCTGGACCGGCGGCTTGGGGGCTGGAAGCTGTAGCCTGGCGCAGGGATGGAGGCGGCACTTTCCTGGGGTGGGCCGGTGTGCGGGTGTGCGGCTACTCAGGAAGACCGATGGTCTAGATGGGATGGTCTAGACTCGAGTCTAGAGTCTAGAGCTCTAGGGGGATGAAGGGGCCGCGCCCGGGGAGGCTGCCCCTTCCACCCCCCACCCACTGACCACAGATTCCCCTCAAGGGACTGACCCGGTCCAGGCTCTTACCCGGGCGCATTTCTGCTGCTCAAGCTCTCTTTTCTTCCCAACTGCCTTCTCCCCTGCATTCCGCTCAGTAGCTTCCCGCTGGGGCAGCCCGTTGCCTAGTAACCGGATGGCTTGGACGCCACCTGCGCACGTGGGCGCAAGCATGGGTGGGGGTAGGGAGAGGAGGAAGGCGCGCGCTGGGGACCGGGGTCCTGGGCCCGGGACTCCCCACCCCCAACCCTACCCCCAGCCACTCCTGGGACAGCTGCAGGTGAGAAGGTCCACCCTTTGCTGTGCCCCCACAACCTGGGGACCGGCTCCCTAGGGCGGCTTTCTCCTCCCCGTCTTCCTGTTGGCCCAGAACTTGCTGGCCCAAAGCTGGGCTGAGAAAAGGGAATGTGTGGAGACAGGCAAACACTTAGGGGCTTTTGCCTTTTTTTAAATCTCAGTTTCATTGTTTGCTTTACGCTGTCTTGTTCCTCTTATTTCAACGCTTTCATCAGAGCAGTTTCAGCTGTGGGGGTGTGAACGGCCCAAGACCAATATTGTAAAGGGCTTTGGTTTGCTGTGGGTAAGAGAAGACACCTATTTCCAATAATGAACTTAACATAGCGATGCATTAAAATACACATTAAAGCTGTGGCCGCATGCTAACACCCTGGGCAAACCCTCGCTGAGGTGCCTGTGCCCTTGGAGGCCAGAGGGGTCAGCTAAGGGCTGGTTGGCCCACAGTTCATTTTTGTCCCGCTCAGAAAATGGCGCTCTGTAAGTAAACGTTTTAAATGAGTAGATGTTAATTTTGCAATAACATCCATTACAGATTTTGAAGGGAAAATGTAGACCCAAAATACCCCCCGCTACACAATGGCTCAGTACTCCGGATTACATGGACACACTTCAGTGGGCCCAAGAGAGCATTGCAATTTGGAAATTAACATCGATGCATACTTGGCATCTGTCATCAGACCCCACACAAGTTTCACCCGTTCTCCCAATGATGCCCTTTACACAAGTAAAGGGTCCCGTCCAGAATCTTGCACATGCAGTTGTCATGACACGTGTCTCCACGCAGGGTCTCACGGACTCGGCAGTTCCTACTTTACTCAGTGGGTGAAAGCGGATTCTCGTCTGTGGTGAACCTGGTGTACACGGCTGCTTACCTGTCCCTGACGGGGCCCGTGGGAGTTTCTCGAGCCGGCTTCTGTGTACTTCCAACCCGTCTCCCTCAGTCCTGGAGCACCTTTTCGTGTTCTTCACGGACCAGATCTCCCAGGCTCCTCCCGTCCTCTGCTGCCCTGCCTGTGAGCCGGCCATTTCTCAAGGAGCCTTTGCCTCTTTGAGAGGAGAATGGTTTTCCACAGCCAGGATGTGAGTGCTAAGCCTGCACGTGGCTACCCAGGCATAGCTGCTCGCAGGCCGTCTTAGTGGACAGAGCCAGGGAATGTCTGTGTGCACGTGTATTTACATTTACACACACACACATACATCCACACACACACCTGTATTATCTATCTATCAATCTATCTATCTATCTATCTATCTATCTATCTATCTTGAATCCCATGTGTTCACAATACCCCTGGTTTAACATCACAGTGGTCTTTCTCATTTTCTCCATTTCCATGTTTGTAATTTACCAACAGTGAGAAAGTTGACTCTTCTTATCCTTTATACACTTACTAGGGGCCCAGTGCACGAATTCGTGCACCTTGAAAGGAACTGTGGGCCACAAGGCCGTGGTGGGCAAAGGGGTGGGTCTCGGCCCATCCTCTGCACCCCTGCCTGACCCCTCCTGCTGTGGCCCCCGGTCCCCTGTCTGCCGGCAGCCCGGGTCCTGCTGCCACCACTCCCATGTGCTGACTGCGCCGGCCCCGCTCACACCCACTGATGGCATGGAGCGATTGGGGCCAGCGCTGGCAGTGGGTGTGAGCAGGGCTGTCGCTGGCAGCGGGTGCAAGAGGTGGCTGCCGGCCCTGATTGTCCCTCAGGAGCAGGGAGAGGTGGAGAAGCCATGAGGAGTGATCGGGACCGGCACCAGGCGCCGGCAGCGGGTGTGAGCAGCAGCTCCGGTGCTGGTAGCAGGTGTAAGCGCCAGGTGCAACTGCAGCACGTGGGAGCAAAGAATTTTCAGTAACCGCCAGAGGCTCACCCCAATGACAGCAACCTGAGCCCCGCCTTGGTCTGGCGCCCCTGCTCACCTGCTCCACCATCCTGCCATGGCCGATGCCCACCATGTTCCGCATTCTGCTGCCTGCTGTTGATGCCTGCCATGTTCTGCACGTGCCTCCTGGTGGTCAGCGCATGTCATAGCGACCGGTTGTTTGGTTGTTCGGTTGTTCTGCCGTTCAGTCTATTTGCATATTATATATATATATAGATATATAGATGTGAGCAAGGCCCTCGTAAATATTTGTTCTCTCAATGCCAGTCTCTCACCTGAGCCCCCACGAGGTCATCCCACTCAGGTTTCAGGACCCTGCATGGCCCCTTCCTTCCTGCTCTGTTTAGACTCTGGACCCTGCACTGGGCCTCCTCTCCTCCTGGACACACTCCTCACCTGACTTGGGCTCTGCCATCCTCTGCTGCCTCCTCTGGGGGGAAGACCCACACCCTCTGGGCTGTGAAACCACATACCAGCCATTCCCACACAGGGCCACGTGCACTCCCCCCGAGCTCTGCACACTGAGGCCGCCTTCCCCACAGGTGGGTGCCCTCCTTCCCTCCTTGGGATTGGACGCCCCAAGTCTGCTTTTGCAAGGGCATGAAATGGCTCTTCCATGCTTTTATAGAAGTGCTGTATCGTTTCGCCTTTCATGCTTAGATTTGCTATTCACCTGGAACTGATTTTCATAAACTGTCAGGTAGGCGTCCATATCCATTGTCACTCGCTTGCCCCTCCCTTTGTTGTAGAGAATAATGTCCCACACCAGCTATCTGCGTCATTACATTGTCATGTGTTTCCTTATGTGCCCTGCCATCCTACCATCCTACCATTTGAGCCTGAAGTTCCTCATTCCCAAGGTGCTAAAGCCAAGTGCAATGACATTCGCTTGCGGAGCACATGCATTAGAAGAGACACAAGGGGTGGGATAAAGAAGTCCCCTTCGGCCTTCCACAGTGAGAAAACCCCGTCCTCCCGCGTGGGCCCCGAGAAGCCTGGCCCCGCAGGGCCCCGTGGGCCCCCGACTGCTGTGGAGCGCTCAGGTTTCAGCGATAGAAATGAAGGGCCGTGATGCTCTGGAAAACCTGGCCCGAACGTGAGCATGTGTGACACTCGCCGGGGCCCACCTGTCACTGTTCCTGCTCCCGGACACTGACCGGTTCACCGTCCCATTTCACATCGGGAAACACAGTTTAGAGTCAAGACAGCTGTCCTGGGATGTTAAGTCCCCTCCCTAATGCAATGAGGCTCCCAGTCTTTCAGCTTTTGATGAACGACTCTTGCGTAGACTCAGTGGTGTTGGAAATTGTGCAATTATATGAGAATAAAGGTTGTTTCCCAGATTTATGTGGGGGACACTGACATAGGGGAAGGTCAGGGACTTTTCAAATACTCAGTGACTGGTCAGCGCTGGGCTTCCTGATTCCGAAGCCCTGGTTTTGCCCAAATCATTTTATTTTAAGGTTTCCCCCTCCCCCATAACAAATTACAGTTCAAGGAGACAGGACAATATTTCATCCACATTTTACGAACTATAGAGGCAATTATCGTGAATGCCAGAGCTGAAGTTCCTGTTTCCTGATCGGACATCACCCTCCCCAGGACAACCTCCTCAGTGTGCTGAGACCATTCTGTTCACTCAGCCTCAGTGGAAGACGCCTTCTCGCTCACACATGGCAGCCCTGAAGACGTCAGCTGCTTCTTTCTTTGCCTGTGAAGTGCCGTGCTGGAGGGCAGGATGGGAATCTGTACTGCCAAGGAGAACATCTGGGCGTCACAATACAGCAAGGCCTTCAGATAGTAGCTCCCCTAGAGAATGCACTTTCACCTGCAGACGCACAGCTGCGGGTCCAGGAATCCGGAACCAGCGCGAGAGCAGGCACCCAAACAGGCTGGGCCGGTCTATTCTTAGCCATGGAGTGCCCGACCGAAATACTTCTGGGTTCTTTAGCTTCCGAAGATCTTTTCTTAATCCTGAGATCACAAGCTGTGGTTAGTCATAGCTGAGATCCACAGTATATGCGACAGTAACCACACCGCTCCTCGCACGTAACAAGAGTGGGCATTTGTCCTGAACCTCGTGCTTTGGCCAGAGAAAGGGGGCCACTGTGCCGGTGACTTAGGGAGCCTTGGCTGGGTTGTGGGCCTCCGACAGCTCAAAGGTTTGATCCGAATGCAAACACCTCCAGGCCAGCCTTCTGTAAGCTTCCTCCGGTGTGTCTATTCAGGAAACAACTTGGTTGTGTCTATTCAGAAAAACGAACCTCACGACTCACTGAGGACCGCCACTCGCCTTGGCTCTTGGGAAGCTGGTTGCCACTTGAAGAAGGCCTATGGTGGGGATGCTGGGGAAGGGAGTGGTCTAATCTGACACCTTTGGGTGCTAAAGGGATGGACACAGAGAGACAGCAGGCAGCGTGGGAAGGAGCAGATGTGAGGGCAAGGGCTGTTTTTAGAATGGCATGGCCACCTGAGCGTGTTTGCAAGCTGAGAAGGGTGCGTGCGGGGCAGAGAGAACCAGAGCGGGAACCCTGAGCTGGAAAGGGACCTGGAGGGGCAGAGTCACAGGCAGGCGCTGGACCAAGAGGGCGGAGGATGAGCGGGGTCTGCACGTGGTGGGAAGCTTTCACATTCTGTAGCGAGGAGGCAGCTGAGCAGTGGGAATGAGGCCCTTTCTGCCCTACGAGGCACTGGGGCAAATAGTGCAGTTTACCGAGGTTGCGTAGGTGAGCGCTTTTCTCACGAGTGTTTCATTCGTACTTAGTGGAACCCTTTGTAGTGGGGTACACGTGCTCCCCACTGGGCTTCCTGAGTCCAGGTCAGAGATGCCGGTTCACCCTCTCCGCAGACTACCCGGCCGATGGGGAAGTGCCCTGGGGCACGTGACAGTGTGGGGTGCAGTGGGGACACCTGGGGGTTCGGTGCTTCTCCAACAGCTGCCACTGGCGCCTCCTTGTAGGAACCCCGCCTTTACCCTCCAGTCCAGACATAACGGTGCTGCCCA